ACTGAAATAAATGAACTTTTCCATGACATTCTAATTTATTGAGATGCACCTGTATACATCTGGAGTGCCCTGGTTGTCCTCTAGAGGGCACTCAATCCCTGAGTGAGTGAGTGAGTGAGTGACAGACAGTCTGTCAGTACACAGACATGAGTATGGAATGTAAAGTAAACCCAGTCTGTGGAACTAAGACACTCACTAGGTAACTAATAAACATGACAAGAGAGTCTGTGTGTCCTTATTCAAGGCCAGTGATGTGCTTTTGGCAGTCCTGGTGAGCTGGTAATGATGTGCAGTGTTTGGGTGAGTTGGAACATGGAGTGGGAAGAGAGGGAGCAGGACATCACTGCCTCCTTGGCCAAGATAACAGAGCTGAGAATAACCTCTGTGGGTGCGATGAAGAAGCAGGGAGCAACCTCCACGGCCAAGGTGAGGAAGCAGAGACCTGGGAGCACCAGATTTGGGATCCTCGGGACCACTGGACTAAGCAGCTAAGCGTATCCCATCATTTGTAATGTTCAGGATCTCACATGCCCCAAGATCAAGTGATATTAAGGAAAACTTGTTTGTTGCACATTTTATTGGTACAGAGATAAGTTTGCAAACACTTTTAAACTTAAAATACCACAATTAAATTGTGTCATAAGTTGCATAATAGGGACTACTGAAAAAAACATTTAGAAACTTGATGCGAAGTATTGAAAATAAAATAAATATTTATAAATAATAATTGCAAAATATTTATTACTGAAAATATTGATAAACTGTATGCAAGTAAGAAAAACAAAACTCGTGTTCGATGAATTACATTTTTTTATTTATGGGGGTGAGTAAATGATGAGGGAATATTTATTTTTAGGATCGCTTTAAAATCATACTTGTTTTCTTTCTTTATTTTGAGGATTTGATTCGCTTACCCGTGGTGAACAGACAGCATCACCCAAAAACAGTATTATGGATGTTCAAATGATCCCCTGGAGCACACTATAACAGATTGCTTTATTTAAAACTCTCCTAGTGTTATATGTGCTAGTATTTATTTATGCATTTATTACATATTTTCAAGGATTATATATATATATATATAAAAAAAAAAATTTTGAGTATTTGATTCACTTGGTTGATTAATTTCTAATTTGTTAGCAACTTGTATGGGGGAACTGTTTCGGGAACTGTTTATTCATTTAAAACATTCTTAGTGTTTTATTTTTTTTAATGTTTGATACCCTTGATTGATTAATGCCTAATTTGCTAGCATTTCGCATGAGGGAATGGTTTTGCTTCGTCATTTAAAAGTTTGTTTGTTTATTGATTGTTGATTATTGATTGATTGATTCACTTGGTTAATTAATTTCTAATTTCTCAGTTTTCATGTAGGGGAGTTTTTTCGCTTTGTCATTTCAAACTTTTGTAGTGATATTTAGGCATTTGTCAATTACTTAGTTGATTTTTTTTTCCTCCAAAGATTTGACTGACTTGGTTCATTAAAATCTTCTTATGTGTCTTGGCAGTCTAGAGTGTGCCCTGTGTCCCACCCACCACGACCTTACAGGGCACACACTAGTCCAAACTCCAAGTGATTCCACTGGGGTGAACTGGTAGCGTTTCTCACCTTTTCTATACACAAACCAAGCTGTAGGATCATTGCTCATCATCCTGCCAAGGGTTGTTACACCTTGCATCCAACTTCAAGTCCTTATGGGGTAAACAGACAGCCTCACTCAAATACAGCAGTAAAGGTATTCAAGAATTCACTGGAGCAGACATTAACAGCCTTCGCTGTGGGCTCATAGCTGGTCGTCCCACTCAGAGTACTACACCGGAGTTAGGAGCCAATCCTTTCTAAAGTTCAGTTCACAAAAATGTTGTTCGCTTGTTTAATTTTCTCTCTTTTTTTGAGGATTAAATTCACTTGGTTAATTAAAATCTGACTTGCTAGCAATTTGCTTGGGATTTGTTGATAAAAATGTATTTTTGGCAATCTAGGGTGTGCCCTGTCTCCCACCCACCACGACCTTACAGGGCACATACTAGTCCTAGCGCCAAGTGATTCCACTGGGGTGAACTGGTAGCATTGACCACATTTCTCAGAAGGCCATTGATTCTATGCACAAACCAAGCTGTAGGATTATTGCTCATTATCCTGCCAAGAGTTGTTACACCCTACATCCAACTTCAAGTCCTTTCCTGGGGTAAACGGAGAGCCTCACCCAAATACAGCAGTACAGACATTCAAGAATTCAGTGGAGCAGACTATAACAGCCTTCAATGTGGGCTCAAAGCTGGCCGTCCCGCCCATAGTACTACACCGGAGTTAGGAACTAATCCGACCTAAAGGTCAATTAGCCAAAATGTTTTTTTTTGTTTTTTTTAGGAATTCACTCGGTTAATTATGATCTTGTTTGTTAGCAAATATTTTAATATTTAATTTAGTTTTTTAATTATTTTGTTTTGTGTGAAAACATGACTGAAGGCAGACTGCTGAGAGAAATTATATGATTGAATGAATTGTTTGAATGCATAATAGGGAACCAGCTGTCTTCGGAAACATTTAAGATGACATTTGCTTGTCTTCCAAGTGAAGCGCTGCTTTGTTTACAGCAGTTACCTGGAAACCGCTCTATTTCTGCTGTTCTATATGCGCCACCTGCTGTCATACAGTAGATTTTCATTCAGACTGTCTGCCGTTTTTGTTCAAACCAATGCGCAAAATTTTTGTTGTAAACCCAAACCGGCAGAGGGAAAATAGGCTACCTTGTTATCCGAAGTGTTGAGATTTTTAGAATGCATATTACTTTATGTAGAATTGTTTATGGAGTACAGAGCCCCGCACGTGACATGCAAGAAAAAATTTAATTGTGCACACAATTTACTAATTCGTTCCCTCGATTTATGAATCGTGTGCTTGTTTTAGTAAATCGAGGGAATGAATTAGTAAATCGTGCACACAATTTAGCCTACTATTTTTTTTTCCCTGCATGCCACGTGAGGGGCTCCGTAATGGAGCAGATGAACTAAAATGTATCATTTAGGTCCGTCAAATCGATTAATCCCATCTAAAATAAAAGTTTGTGTTTACATAATATATGTGTGTATATTTAAATGTATATATAAATACACCCACATACATGTATATATTTAAGCAATGTACATAATATTAATCATATTTAAATGAAAATATTTCATAAATATATATACACATACATACATGTAGCCTATGTGTGTGATAAATCAGTTTGACAGCCCTATTATCATTCTGCCTCATCCTTTTCCTAAAAAAAAAAAATAGACTGAAATGTGAGATTTATCATTTTATAAAACTGTTTTTGGGCAAAACTCCATTTAGTACATGTCAGTAGATAGCATTATAAATATTTTGTGTTACTTTAAAATCCGGCCATCGTTTTTCATTTTATTGCAATGTTTAAGCAAACAAAAAGTGCATAGTGCTGCTAATTTAATTTGTTGGTTTTCGACATAAAACTTGGTGAAATTATTTCAGTGCGTGCATCAATACTTTTTGAACATTTCCAGCACATTTTAACAATGTTGTGTATATGTCAGCTCAGCACACAGATGAGAAGACAAGGAAATAGCGGTAATGCTTGTTTATTGACAATATTCCAGATGCCCAGATTAGTAACTTGCAGATGAAGAATAAACAGAGCCTGTAAGCATGAGTAACAGTTCTTATCTTTGTAGGTGGTAGATGGATCCAGAGCTAGGCAGACTGAAGGAGAACCAAAAACAGCAAACATGACGCAACGGGTAACGGTAAGGCGAGGAGTGAAGGCGAGTAGTCCGTAGTGACTAGCAAGACCAGACAAAGTACTGTGGTGGAGTGAGAGTTTATATAGGTGAGTTAATGAGGTGATCAGGTGGAAGCAATCAGAACTCTGGTGAGCTGGAACAAGTGGGCGGAGCAGAGGGTGTTGTAAAATCTGTGACAGTAAGATTTAGCAGGGATACATGAAATGTTGGTGATATACAATACTGTATTGGTAAGTTCAGGCAGTAAGCAACTTCGTTGATCTGTCCCTGGATGGTGAATGGACCTATAACTCAGGACCTATAACTGGACTCCGCTTGCGACTGGGCAATCGAAGGCGAATGCCCCTGGTGAAGAGCCAGACCTTGTGCCCTTGATGGTAGATGCGTGTCGCTGCTCTCTCTGAACTGCCCTCTGCAGATATGAGTCCCAAACCCTTTCGGTCTCCTGGAACCAGAGGTCCACAGCTGGAATGTCCGACAGCTTGGATCTTCTGCTCCATTTGTCTTAGGGTGGTAGTCAGATGACAAGCTCACAGTGACTCCAAGCAACTGGAAGAAGACTTTCCACACATAATATAAACTGAGGTCCACTGTCTAAAGCAAGCAAATTTGATTTATATAGCACTTTTCTAAACAAGTTAATGCAATTCACGGGTTATGTCACGGACACTACGTCCATGTTTTTATACAGTCTATGCTGCTGTCACCACCGTCGAGCTAGGTGGGCGTGGTTTTTAAACAAGACTGTGGAAAAACATGGACGTAGTGTCCGTGACGTAACCCGTAGACTTCCGACGAGCGTTTTGAAGCCTAAAGTGGGCGGAGCCGGCCATCGCCATCTTGGCAGCGCGTCACCGCGCGTCACTCCCGGATAATCGAAAATGGGCAAAGAGGCGGGAGCTGGCTGCTGAAACCACGCCCACCTAGCTCGACAGTGTTGACTGCAGCGGCAATCCACCTGTCACTCAAGTGGCCACGCCCTTAATTATGCAGAACTTTAAGGCTTAATATAATTTAAACGGATGAGTTATAAAAAAAATCACCCCCCTCACAGTTGTCATGAAGGGCAAAATTAGCTATACAGACCAAAATCATTTTTTGAAGCAGGTTGTTTTCTGCTGTAAAGTTGGGCATTTTAACATTTTTAGTCTATGGGACTGACTCCCTTTTCCAGCCAGCCTCTAGCGGCCAGTTGATGAATAACAGTTTAAGTCACTTCCTTGTTGGCTTCACGAGAGAGAGCGAGAGGTTGCCGCTCGGTGTTTATACAGTCTATGGCCGATGGTCAGTCCGGGACTGCCGCCATTGCCTAATATTTCGAAGGGTGAGCGGTTGATATTTACTCAGTTTATATACATTTTGAACTCATTAAAATTGCTAAAAAACCGTTGAATAAAAATGTGTCATTACATTATTTTAACAACTAAGCTTTTTATTATTTATAACGTTTTATAAACTGCTGAGGGGATCTTAAACCAAAAGCATGACGCTTATTTATGTATTTATTTTCCCTGCCAATCTTCATACTCGGCAGAGTAACCCCACTGCGGAAACTTTTGACGCTCAGCACTCCTTTGCTGCAGAGACCGGTGCTTGACGTTAATGGATCCACATCAAGTTTCCTAGAGAGAGAATAATGTGTGTAAAAATGTCATGATAAATATTCCTCTATTACAACAGAGTGTCCAACAAGTACTGACTCATTCCTTACGCCATGTGATGTCAATGATGAAGTGAAACTCGCGGGTTTAGTCGCAACATAGGCGCAAGCGGAGAGAGGGAAAGAGGTATTTGGATGCATGTAATTCTATAAAGTCGATAATTACAGACTAATAATGAAAGGCTGACTAGCTGGTTCGACAGGGACATAGCTGGGCGTGGTGTTATTTATGGTCGTCTGATTGTGATGTTCTTCTCTTTGAGAGGTAGGCTATGTTTGTATGTTTTCACAACTTGGATTTTGTAAACACAATAGATTTGTCAGTATAATCTGTGGAAGTGACACATTTAATATTGTATTCAGATTCGATAGCTTCATTGTCGTCACTTTGTGTTTAGTTTCAGATATCTAAAATGAATATTTAGTTACTTACATTATACTGTTGATCTCATGACTTAGAAATATAAATACAAATTTGAACTAGTTGGATGAAAGTAACAGAAGTTTTAGTAGATGTTTTACCATTTCCAGGTTTTTGGAGAGCCTCTGGAACTGAGAGCTACTGAAGCAAAGATGACAGTAACGTTATCTAGTTTGTGTACATCCAGGGCTGAAGCATTCCACTTGCAGATCAACTACCATTAAAGTGAATGGGAATGCGTATGGATAGCTCTGTGCAGGTAGGCTATAATAGACTGCTGAGGGTTAATTTAATTGATTTAACACTATGAAAAGCAAAAGATATCAAATGAATCCTTAGTCTTTGTGTTAAAAAAATGTTCCCTTAATGTTACTCTGTAAAACATAGCTGTTGAAAAATCAGAAGGAGTTGGCCATGACACAAGGGAGGGAGTGAGATTTCAAGACAAACCTTGACAACCTTGACCGTTATATTCTTTCAGGTTTTAGGAGGAAACGAGCTGATAAATGTTCATAAATTACTTGATTTGGCTGACAAAAGTTGATAAAATATTAATAAAATAAGCAGTATTGTATTGTAAGATTTTTTTTAGAATAAAGATTATGCCAAACTACTAAGTAAAAAATGAAAGTTTGTTGAAAATGTACTCAGGCCAACCAGGATGTTGATGAGTTTGTTTCTTCATCAGAACGGATTGGAGAAATTGAGCTTTATATCACTTGTTCACCAATGGATCATCTGTAGTTAAAGGGGTCATGAACTGAGAAATCAAAATTCCCTTGATCTTTTGACATATAAGAGGTGTCAGACTCTGTTCCGTGTTTTGCTCCCCATGTGTTTCCATGCCCATATTTGGTCCTTCCCGTTCCTGTCCTTATTTGTTCCCGTTCCTGTCCTTATTTGTTCCAGGTGTCCCCTTCTCCGTTCTATTGATCACAGGTGTGTCTCGTCATCCCATCGTCATGTCATTTGTATAAATAGTGTTCCATGTTATCAGTTCGGCGTCCGGTATTGTGAATGCCTGTATATGTCTACCCTTGCTACGTGTGTTTTCCTTGTTCCCTGGATGTGATTAAAATCTATATGTTTAAATTCCACTCCTCATCTCCTCACTCCTTCGTCTCCGTGCTCCTCACAGTAGCGAATCGTGACAGAATACCGGACTGTGACAGTAAGCGGCGCCCCTTCTCCCCATGTTTGTTTTTCGTTTTTGAAAATTGTTTTGTTTTCCTGTTTGTTTCTCCCTTCTTTAATGGAGGAACGAGCGATGTTCATCGCCGTGGCTCAGGCGAGCCATGATCCGATCACCTACGCGAGGGCATTTGTGCCGCTTGCCCTCGCCAGCTCCCTCGATGGGGAGACCCTGGTGACGCTGTTCCGGCTCGGGATCACATATCGCCCCGCGGAACTCCCAGACACCACCAACCTCGACTGGAAGGAGGCGGTCATCCGGTGTCTGGAGAGCCTCCTAACCTGATACGGAACCCCTCCGCCAGCCGCTCCTAAGTCAAGATATTTGGTCCTTCCCGTTCCTGTCCTTATTTGTTCCAGGTGTCCCCTTTTCAGTTCTATTGATTCCAGGTGTGTCTTGTGATCCCATCGTCATGTCAATTGTGTAAATAGTGTTCCATTTTATCAGTTCGGCATCCAGTATTGTGAATGTCTGTTTATGTCTACCTCATCTGCTATGTGTGTTTTCCTGGTTCCCTGGTTATAATTAAAATCTCCTGTGTTAATGTACTCCTGGTTTCCTCGTTCCTTGCTCCGCGCTCCAACACAGTAGCACTGTGACAAGATACCGGACCGTGACAGTAAGCGGCGCCCCTTCTCCCCATGTTTGTTTTTCGTTTTTGAAAATTGTTTTGTTTTCCTGTTTGTTTCTCCCTTCTTTAATGGAGGAACGAGCGATGTTCATCGCCGTGGCTCAGGCGAGCCATGATCCGATCACCTACGCGAGGGCATTTGTGCCGCTTGCCCTCGCCAGCTCCCTCGATGGGGAGACCCTGGTGACGCTGTTCCGGCTCGGGATCACATATCGCCCCGCGGAACTCCCAGACACCACCAACCTCGACTGGAAGGAGGCGGTCATCCGGTGTCTGGAGAGCCTCCTAACCTGATACGGAACCCCTCCGCCAGCCGCTCCTAAGTCAAGTCCGCCGGGCGTTCCTCAGTCAAGCCTGCCGGCCGCAGCTCACTCCAGAGCTCGCTCCAGTGTGGGCTCCAGCCCCCGAATCATGCCCACGGAGGGCTCCTGTTCCCGAGTTTAGCCCACGGAGGGCTCCTGTTCCCGAGTTTAGCCCAGAGAAGGTTCCATTCCCCGTGTCTAGCACAGAAAGGGCTCCAGTTCCCATGTCCAGCCCAAGGAGGGCTCCAGTCCCCAAGTCAAGCCCAGGAAGGGCCACAGTTCCCGAGTTAGGCCTACGGCGGGCCTCTAAAGACCATATTCTCTCCAAGGATTTTTTGGGGTAATATGGGTCCGTCTGTTGTGACCTGGCCGAGTGACGAGGCCAAGGCCACTGAGGCCGTCCAGCCGTGGCCTCCTGAACTATCTGCTCTGCCATGGCGCCCTGAGCTCCCTGTGCCACCATGGCACCCTGGACTGTCTGATCCACCCTGGAGGTATTCCCCGTGTCCCATTCCTGCACCAGCCTCCAGGGTGTCAGATGCTGTTCCATGGTTTGTGTGTGTTTTGCTCCCCATGTGTTTCCATGCCCATATTTGGTCCTTCCCGTTCCTGTCCTTTGTTCCAGGTGTCCCCTTCTTAGTTCTATTGATCCCAGGTGTGTCTCGTCATCCCATCGTCATGTCATTTGTATAAATAGTGTTCCATGTTATTAGTTTGGCGTCCGGTATTGTGAATGTCAGTATATGTCTACCCTTGCTACGTCTGTTTCCTTGTTCCCTGGATGTGATTAAAATCTATATGTTTGAATTCCACTCCTCGTCTGATGGCGAGATGGCTCCAAAGCCAACAAGACGCTGTTCAGTGCCAAGTAGGGTTGTCAAAAGTATCGACTTCGGTACCAGTCAGTACTGAAATTTTAAAAAATGTGATGACACCAGCATTTTATGCTAGCATTTTGAGCGCTGTTGAGCAGATTCTTAAACACCTCTGATTGGCCATTGTGTTCTCATTCTCAACAGATATATCTGTGATTGGCTACAATGATCATCGCTTCACGCTCTTCACTGAGCGCTTACAAAGATACACACGGGATCGTTTGAAAGCCGCGTCTATCAGCAGATATATTATGAGCATATCTATATGAGCAGATATATTAGGGATCCGCTGACGGATCCGCTGATAAATGCGGCTTAGAAATGCTGGTATCATCACATTTTTAAAAAGTCGGTACTTTTGACAAACTTAGTGCCAATTTGTGGAAAAACATAGTCTTTGCATTGCCTTCCTTCTGATCCCAACTTTAGGAAATTTTATTTTTAAAGAAGATCCAGACCGCGTCAGTAAGAACTTGGTCCTTTGTTCACTTAATTTTACCGTGGATTCGGTTACAAACAAGACACAATTCGATGCAGGATTTTCAGAAAGACTGAAACTAAAAGATGATGCTGTGCTGACTATTGGATCCGATAGTAATGTCGCAACACACAAGTAACTGTTTTTATTATGTAGTCACTATTGCTTTGTCTGTTATTACAGATCGTTTGATATGCACTGAGTATTTATGCATTTTTAACCTAAATCACAGCAGCGTCCATCTATGAGCAATGTAGGCTGTCAAACATGCACAACTTTTAGCCAATCAGAAGAATCAGAATGAGCTTTATTGCTAGGTATGTTTACACATACGAGGAATTTGTTTTAGTGACAGACACTCCACAGTGCAAAAGAATGACAGTAACAAGACAGGACACAGATAATAAAAAGATTAATATCAAAATAGACAAAATAGACAATGTACAAAAAAGCAAAAACACAATATATAATATAGACAATATAGACAATTATGTATGTATCATGTCTATATTGTCAATCATGTCAGTGGGCGTTTACTTCCGAGTACAATCTGCCTTGCCTATTGAAACAGAGTGTTCCGATGAGCGGGGTCAAAACAGGACAGAAAATAGCCTATTACTTCTAAATTATGATGTAAAAACCTTGATAACATTATAAGTAGACCTCAGAGAACAGTACAAAAAAAAGTTCATGACCCCTTTAATGGGTGCCGTCAGAATGAAACAGCTGGTAAAAACATGACAATAATCCACAAGTAATATAAGTAATACAAAGTAATCCGCTGCTTGTTTGTAAGAAAAAAACCCATCAAGACATTTTTAACTTCAAACTTTCTTCCAGTTAAAATGCATGTCCTCTATCCATAAAATAGCTTTCTCCAGTGAAAACGTTGTCTCGTCTGAATCAGTTCAAAACACTTCTAAAGTAATATATTGGTAGAGAAGAAAACGGGATGGACTTTTAAAGTTAAAACGTCTTAATGATGGATTTGTTTATTACAAACACGGAGCTATTCACTTCACAAGACGTTAATTGATGGGCTGAAGTTGTGTGGATTACTTGTGAATTATTGTTATTGTGACTTTTTTTTTTACTCTTTGGACATTCTGACGGCATCAATTGACTGCAAAGGATCCAATGGTGAGCAAGTGATATAATTCTAAGTTTCACCAAATCAGTTCAGATGAAGAAACAAACTCATCTATATCTTTGATGGTCTAAAGGTGAGTACATTTAAATTTTTTGGGTGAACTATTTCTTTAAGATTTTTTTGTTGAGAATTTCTTTTAATTAGATTTTTTTTCTTTATGATATTAACATTCAGGACAGTTATGCCCCATTTTAATGTGTGTATGTATTTGCAGACATAATACCAGCCACTTCTGAAGAGCAGCAGGGCCTCTAAAATGAGTTTCTATGAGAAGAGAAAGGGAGCTGTTTCTGCTCAGACCAAAAGGACGGGAAATCCAGAACCCAGCTGTGTGTCTATGAAGAGTGATGTATCTATGGGCATGCCACCTGAATTCAGTGGTGGAGCAGTGAACCCTGACCCCAAGTGAGACACAAGATTTAATCTTAAACGGATAGTTCACCCAAAATGAAAATTTGCTGTTAATTTACTCACCCTCAGGCCATCCAAGATGTAGGTGACTTTTTTCTTCAGTAGAACAGTAAAGTAGTTTTTCAGCTGAAACTGTGTGAGAACCTTGTTGATTCATTAAATGCAAATCAGCGGCTGCACATTTTTGAAAAAGCATATAAGGAACACAAAATGAATACCCATGGCTCCTGACGATATATTGAGGTCTTACGAAGCGAAACGATCAGTCTGTGCAGGAAACTGAACATTATTTACACTATTATTACCTGTAATAATAGCCATTCTTTTCCGCGAACTGGTTCTTTAAGATAGTTCGTTTTAATTAACTGGTTTAATTCACAAGTTCATTTAATTAATCACACAATGATGTAACTTATACACATTATTTTATTAAAGTGCCCAATGATGATGTAAAACGTGGATGTTTTGCATGTCTAAAGCATATAAAGTGAATAAGCTTGTTTTGACGCTCACCTTTTTACATAAACTATGAGAAACCATAAAACTTTAATTTCGCCCCTTCATTCAAGTCCTTGGTTCACATATACACATATCACCGGCTCATCAGGTCTGTGTGGGAACTCTTTCTTCAGTTTAGTGATATGTTGGAGTGGTAAATGAGTTGGCAAAAACCAGCATCATAGGAGCATATACGACTGTTTTTTTTGGCTCATTTCGAGTTCTGTCCTGTGCTTCTCGAGCGATGAACTGTTTCAGACAGTTCAGTCCGATTTGGTGAACTGGTTCAAATAATTTACCAAAAAGAACTCGTTCAAAAGAATGATTTGTTCGCGAATCAGACATCACATAGGGCTGTTTGTCTGACGCTATGGATTAATGGAGGTAATAATGTTTTAAAGGGGTCCTATTATGCTCTTTGACAAAGTCTTGATTTTGTTTTGGGGGTGTACTAGAACAGGCTCTCATACTAGATTGTTCGAAAAACACATTATTTTTCACATATTTTACATTATTACCCCACCTCTCTCCCCAGTCTAGCACGAACGGCTCGAATAGTTCCTGTATCAAATGAAGGCCCGCCTTCTGAAATACGAAATGTGCTGTGATTGGTTAGCTGGGCCAGTGTGTGTTGTGATTGGCAGCACTCGGCGCCTGGTCGGGAAATGTCACGCCCCTTACGTGACATTTGTCAAAATCAAATCAATTTGTCAAAATTTGTCAAAATCAAATCAATTTGAGCGCGATTTAAACCCGGATGATTGTAAGCACTCTAAGTTCGTCTGCCTTGGGAAAGCTAACGTGTTTGACATAGTGATAACACTTGCTGCCTTCTCTAGTGCAGCTCAACCAGGTCTCGTCCCATTCGTCGGTATTTGTGATATCACAAATTCCGGAAAATATGCGTTGTAGTCCAAACGAGTCGTTCGTTGTAGTTTTTGAAAAATGATTTCTGTTAAATAAAATATCTCCTTTTGAAGTGGACTTTGAGCTTTGTAACTTTGCAGATCTTTTTTATGCTCAAACAGCAACATTACAGACTAACTAAAGTTGAAAAAGTGAAAAAGCATAATAGGACCCCTTTAAATAATGTTCCATTTCTTGCACAGACTGATCATTTTGCATGATAAGACCTTAATATATCATCAGGAGCCATCTGTATTAATTTTGTGTTCTTTGATATGCTTTTTTTATTCTCAAAAATGGGCAGCTTTGGACTTGCATTGTATGAATCACCAAAGGACCATGGTTTCAGCAAAAATCTTCTTTACTGTTCTACTGAAGAAAAAAAGTCACCTTATTCTTGGATGGTCTGAGCGTGACTAAATTAACAGCAAATTTTCATTTTTGGGTGAACTATTCCTTTAATAGCCTATACAGGACAGAAGGATAAATGTAGGCGTTTCGGTTTCTTACAAATTTTCACATTATGATCTGTTTGTAAGCAGATTCACAAAGCAATATCAGCATGTGGCTGAGTCTTAAAGAAAAGTAACAGTGTAATGAAAAACTTGGTGCATTGGTTAGCGAATATGATTAGCGAATTAGCTTGAAAATTTCAAAATGTGCCTATAGTGCTGATGATGTCATATAACACATCTGAGATCTCTCTGCAGGTGTTTGTTGCAGGCTTTTTCCAAATGTGGAGTGTGTGAGCAGGTTCTGAAAGATCCAGTCTCAATTACCTGTAAACATAGTTTCTGCAGGAAGTGTATCAGCTGCTACTGGGATAAATTCAGTCAATCAGAAGACTTTGACTGCCCTCAATGCAAGAAAAGGTCTATAATACGTCCGGTTCTACAAACATATATAGTCTCGGGAGGATCCAGTTCTGCTCTCTGTTACACAAACCTGCAGCAGGATTCTCTGGTGGATGATGTCCTGCAGAGAGTCAAAGAGAAACACAAAACCAGCATGAGGAACAAGTATGAGTGCTTATTTGAGGGAATCAAACTACAGGAGAATCAAACACTCCTGAACAGGATCTACACACAGCTTTGTATCATAGAGGGAGAAAGTGAAGGGGTGAATGAGGAACATGAAGTGTTACGGATGGAGAAAACAGCCAGAACACAACATTCACAAAACACTCAAATACACTGTAATGACATCTTTAAATCCTTACCCGAACAAGGATGCGAGGGGAAGAGAAGAAAGCTGGATGACAAAATAAAGATTGTTCTTACTAAAGGAGTCGCTGGAATTGGAAAAACAGTCTCTGTGCAGAAGTTCATTCTGGACTGGGCTGAGGGAAAAGCCAATCGGGATGTAGATTTCATGTTTGTGCTTCCATTTCGAGAGCTGAACTTGATTAAAGATGATCAGTACAGTATTCACAAAATTCTGCTTGACTTTCTTCCTGAACTTCAAGATCTGGACTCAAAGATTTATGATGAATGTAAAGTTGTGTTCATCTTTGATGGTCTGGATGAAAGCCGAATTACACTAAGGTTTTCAGACAGTGAGATGGTTTCTGATATAAATAAGTCTTCATCAGTTGGTGTATTGATGTCAAACATCATCAGAGGAGCGCTGCTTCCCTCTGCTCACATCTGGATCACCTCCAGACCAGCAGCAGCCAATCAAATCCCTTCAAAATACATCAACCGGGTGACTGAAATTCAGGGATTCAATGACCCTCAGAAGGAGGAATATTTCAGGAAGAGGATCAGTGATCAGCATCAAGCCAGCAGAATCATCTCGCACATCATAAGATCAAGAAGCCTCCACATCATGTGCCACATACCGGTCTTCTGCTGGATCTCATCCACTGTGCTTCAGAACATCCTGGAACAAGATGACAGTGCAGAAATCCCTCAAACTCTGACTGAAATGTACATCCACTTTCTGCTCATTCAGATAAACCTAAGGAATCAGAAGTATGATGAGAGAGATCCTGGAAAACACTGGCAGTCCAACAGAGACGTGATTTTGAAACTTGCTGAACTGGCTTTCAAACAGCTGAAGAAAGGCAATATCATGTTCTATGAGGAGGATCTGAAAGAGTGCGACATAGATGTCATAGATGCCTCAGTGTATTCTGGGATTTGCACTGAGATATTTAAGGAGGAATCTGTGATTCATCAGAGGAAAGTCTACTGCTTCATACATCTGAGCTTTCAGGAGTTTCTTGCTGCTATTTATGTGTTCTATTGTTATGTAATTAACACTGTGGAGGAACTAAGGTTTTTTGATTCCCTGCATAATTTGCTCAGAGGAGCAGTAGATAAAGCCTTAGAAAGCGAGAATGGACACCTGGATCTTTTTCTCCGGTTCCTGCTGGGCATCTCACTGGACTCCAATCAGAAACTCTTACAGGATCTACTGACCAACACTCACAGCTGCTCAAGGAGCATTGAGAAAACAACTGCTTATATTAAAGACAAAATTAAACTTGGACATAACCTTTCAGCTGACAGATCCATCAATCTTTTTCTTTGTCTCTTTGAAATGAAAGATCAGACTCTGCACAGAGAGATCCAGGAGTTTCTGAAATCAGACAAACACTCAGAGAAGAAACTCTCTTCTGCACTTTGCTCAACAATCGCCTACATGTATCAGATGTCAGAAGATGTGCTGGAGGAACTTGATCCCAAGAAATTTAATACATCAGAAGAAGGTCGCAGAAAACTCTTACCAGCTGTGAAAAACTGCAGAAAAGCTCTGTGAGTGTTAAATTCTTCTTTTACTTAAGATAATGAATGATGTGTCTTCTGATTGATGTTTATTTAAAATTTTCATAACTTTATATTTTTACAACTTAACAACTTTTTATTTTTCTGGCAAGACTAGACTTAATATAGTTCTTGGAAAATCAGAGGGAGTTGGCCATGACACAAGGGAGTTTTATTTGAAGATAAACAGTCAATACATATGCCACCCTTGACCATTATCAAGTTGTTTTGAGTGGGCTAGTGAGATACAGGTTTAAAGAAAAGATTATTCGACTTATATTTGAACTACCTTATGCAGTTGTTTGTTGATCTAATTTGAATTGTGTTTTGCTCTCTTATAGTCTTGCTGATTGTAATCTCACTGATAAATCTTGTGAAATTGTGGCCTCAGCTCTACAATCATCAAACTCCGTCCTGAGAGAGCTGGACCTGAGTAACAATGACTTGCAGGATTCAGGAGTGAAGCTTCTCTCTGATGGACTGAAGAGTCCAAACTGTCAACTAGAGAAACTGAGGTCTCTAAAAATTTGTAACAGTTCACAGACTATTAAAAAAAAATTAATCAAGTGTAAAAATTACACCCAAGTGACCCAAAGAAGGGGTGGGTGGTATGACCAAAATTCTGTTTCACGGTATGAATAATTTTATTTCACGGTAACAATATATTTCATGATATATTTATTTATATATGTAGTTATTCTGAAAATCGACAAAAAAGTGCTTTATATAATAAATAAACTCAAATACTTTAGAAATGAGAAGTACTTCACCTCGTTTGATTTTTCTTTTTCTTTTATTGGGAAAATGATTTAATAAAAACACACTCAACTTTTAGATTAACTGCTCCCAACTGATTGATATTAAATGCAACTTGTAGGTGCAATTCAACTTTAAATAAGGGGTTTCTGAATTATTTTTAAATCTCATGATACTGTTTTACTTCAATCAGTTTATAATATCTAAATATTTTATATTAAAATATTCTATTCATAATAAATTACATTTACTTTCTTTTAATTTTGTAGGATACTATTAATACTAGTTTTATTGTTTAAACTGTACGTTTTAACCATTCATACACAGAATAAAAAGATATTTTACGGTTGACATTTTATACCGTAGTAATGATATATATCGTCCTACTGCCCAGCCCTAAAAGACACAATTCACTTTTAATAGCATCTTGTCTAATACTGTGTGTAAATTATCACACTTTAGTGTCCTAAACTGTACTAAAAACAATGTGTGTTTGTAAATTATATGTCTGTTTTTATGCATATTTGTAGATTATCTGGCTGTATGGTGACAGAGAAAGGCTGTTGTTGTCTAGCCTCGATGCTGAGTTCCAACCCCTCACACCTGAGAGAGCTGGATCTCAGCTACAATCACCCTGGACATTCAGGAGTCAAGATGCTCTCTGATCGACTGAACCATCCAAACTGCAAACTGGAGATACTCAAGTATGTGGACCTAAAATCGTGTTGTTTACATGTGTATACGCTATACTGTATAGTATAAAAGCATTCTATTTGATTATTATTTCATTGTGTTTTACCTTGAGCAAGCATATGCAATGAATCCAGCAGCCTAATGACTGCACAAACATTTTACATACAAAGTTTTTGTGCCAAGAGTTATTTTCCCCCAAAAATGTTGACGTCTGGTTGCTTAGTCCAAACACTGTGTTACCAGATATTACATTACTTTCCACAGAGTTGAAATTATATAGATAATGATCATGCTTATATAGACATGTCTTATGCTGTCAAGAATTCCTCACAAGTGAATTTCGCTAAAAGATCTGGCTGGACAATTCGTTGGAAGCAACTACCTGAACAATAACAGCATAATACTACAGTTATAATAATACGGTTCATAATACTAACATTGTGCACAGGCAACAAAAAAATGAATGCCTGATTCAATGCTCTTCACTTAATCGGTATAACATAAATTTGTAAATCTTTTGGATTTCAGGACTTTAATTCACCTCCCATTATGTATCTGTTATTCTAAGACTATTTTTACATGCCTTTTTCTGTACTGCTTAGTTTTGACCATGGAGAGTCTTTCAGAATCACACCAGGACTGCGGAAATGTAGGTTCTCTCCCTGACAAGCAAACTGCATGCACATTTATTTTTGTTCAATTCATTATAGTGCTTTTATAACACAAATTCGACAGCAGCCATAGAAGAATAATGCCTTACAATCACAAGCTAAATCCAAACATGACAATATCAAGGACAATGTCTAATGATCATTATTGACATTATTTATGTTTAATCTCCCTTCAGATGCCCGTGTTCTCACATTTGATCAAAATACAGTAAACACTCATCTCATTCTATCTGAGAACAACAAAAAGGCAACATATTTGGAAGAGGAGCAGCCATATCCTGATCATCCAGAAAGATTTGAGCACTACGAGCAGGTTCTGTGTAGAGAGAGCCTGACTGGACGCTGTTACTGGGAGGCTGAATGGAGTGGCTGGAGTCATATAGCAGTCACATATCGAGGTATCAACAGGAAAGGAGGGAGCGACTGCAGGTTTGGACTCAACGAGAAGTCCTGGAGTCTGGTCTGCTCTGGTAAAAATTACTATGCCAGGCATAATAATGCAAGAACTGACATACCTGCACCCTCATTATGTTCTAACATAATAGGAGTGTATCTAGATCAGCCAACTGGCTCTTTGTCTTTTTACAGTGTTTCCTCTGAAATTGGTCAAATGGTCCACATTTACACCTTCCACTCCACATTTACTGAGCCCCTCTGTGCAGGGTTTGGTGTTGGGGTTGACAGTGGATCTTCAGTGTGTTTATGTTAAATACAGAAGCTGTGAAACAGGTGTGTCAGACACTCAGACCATGGGCCAAATACAGCTTGTGAAGGACATAAAATGAGAGTTTAGCTCTAACTCTAATTAAACACCTGAACCAGCTGATCAAGGTCTTCAGGATTACTTGAAAACTAAAGGTACCGTAGGTACTGGAGCAAGTTTGAGCTGAACTCTGCAGGACTGTGGCCATCCAGGAGCAGAGTTTTGACACCTATGTGCTAAAATATGCTTAAATTAATTATTTATTATGTTAGTGTGATGTCTGTAAGAAGTGTTGGGGGTAACGCATTACAAGTACAGCGAGTTACGTAATCAGATTACTTTTTTCAAGTAGCTAGTAAAGTAATGCATTATTGTTTTATTAAACAATAAAATATCTTTGTTTTCTCATGTATTGACTGACAGCTCTCCTGTCCCCGTATTGAGAGAAATCAGGAGTAAGTGCAGAGGCGTTGTGTGCGCTGAGTGAACATGATGTTACTGTAGTTCTAGACTAAATGTCAACATGTATTTACTCATCTCACTCGCACAAAAACAGATTCAGCATTCCTCAAAATGAATAAAAACAGTCAAATGCAAACTCAGGACATGATGCAAACATGTTAAGTAACACAAATATCCTTTATGTATTTCCATTTTATTAACTTTGCTGCTGACCTTCATTGATCAACAATACTAATGAGTAAAAATAACTTTAGATTTCTTTTCTTTTCTTTTTTTTTCTGAAGAGAGAAAAATGGGGCCAAGCAAGACGGATGAGAAATAGTAACGCAAAACGTTCCATAAAAAGTTACTAAGTAACGTAATTAGTTACTTTTTTAGGAAGTAACGCAATATTGTAATTCATTACTTTTAAAAGTAACTTTCCCCAACACTGTCCATAAGTGATGTCACATTATTAAAAAAAATGTTTAATTTAAAATGGCTAATTTAAAAGTGAATCTAATGTGCTTCACTTCCAGTGCATACCATACAGACTGTTATATTCTTCTGTAAAATAACTTTGTGTGTGGTAGCTGTATAAAAACTTCAAGCTTGTATTTCCATTTTGCATAATGGGTGACCCTGACAATAAGCGAGCTAAACTTTGTTTAATATATGCACGTCAAACAGAAAGAAAAGTCAGTACAGTCATTTTAATTCATTGTCAGAGGTTGCATTTAGTTATATATAACTGCAATACTATTGAGGAAACAAACAAGTGTTTTAAAATTACAGAGAAAAGCAATGACATAGTAGTACACTCTAAAAAAATGCTGGGTTAAATACAACCCAGTGCTGGGTAAAATAGGGACAAACCCAGCAATTGGGCTGTTTTGACCCAGCACTGGGTTGTATTTAACCCAGCATTTTTTAGAGTGTATGTTATTATGATCAGTTAAGCGAATGTGTGTTCCTGCTGAACATTTGATCTCTTTAACAGTTTGTGTTCTTTTTTTTTTTTTTCTTGCATCAATTTCATAATGGTAATGTGTTAACTTCCTGTTCTGATTTAGGTTGAACATTTTTTTAAATGTTATGGTGTTCTTATTTCTCTTTTTTTGCAAGTTTATATTAAAGTCGTGTTGCACCAGTTTTGAACTTCTACATTGTATATGCATTATATTATTATTTTATTTTAGGAAATTATATTTTAGTCACGTGAAATAAAATGTTACCATCATAATTAAGGAAACATGAATGTAGCTCATGTAAAATAAAACAATATATAACTTTATTGGCACATAATAGAACATTTTAATAAATACATACATACAATTTCGAAATGTAGTGCATCACAGTTTCTACAAAAAATGTTAAGCAGCAAAAACTTTTTTTTCAGCATCCACAATCATTTAAATAATAATCTTGCGGTCATAATAACATCGCAATCCAAACGACGATCGTAATGATATCGCAATTAGCGCAAACGTATTGTGATTGGTCCATCCTAACCAGCGTTGAGAAAAGTAACAGTTCTCATATGCTACAACTTCAGCAGCGGTAGGGACAATAAATCAAGGTTTGCTTGTGGTAAACTTGAATAGACCTTTAATTGAAAATACATATTTAAATGTTACTATTGTATAAGCATTGTTTAGACCCATTTTACCTGACGGATTTAGTCGATGGAGACTATTATTATGAAACACGTCTCCCGGAAGCCATTTTAATCGTATGAGTCAGTTACAGACGCTGCAGTGGTTCATAGTTTTACTAACTTCATCATGGCTGATTCTTTGCTTCGCTGGACTGTTGATAAGTTAAATCATAGTTTTGGATTGGAGGCAAGCGATGACATTGTACAGTAAGTACAATTTAATAGAGGATGAATTGTGCGCAAGTCTATCTGTGGTCATTTGTAGAAATTATGTAACGTTAACGTGGACTTAACGTTACGTTAAGAATGGAATAAATACAACAAGGCAAGGGATAACTTGGTGGGCAAACCTCTTTTGTACAAAATCATCACGGTGGCACATTTTTGTCTTTGACATACCATTTATACTATGTAAACACCTTGTTACATCATTATGAGATTTAGTCACAAAGTGCCATACTACCACTACCTTACTTTTCAATACTGACCATGGAAAATATATATTAATGTAACAAAATACTGCTAATGAGAAATGTATGTGGTGATTAATAAATACACAACTGACAGTAGATTCTTTGGAGTTTGTGATGGGTGTGTTTGGCCATCTGGGATCCAACCAGACGTGTTGTTTTTGAAAGGGTCTCTGTGAGAATGAGTAGGCATTCTGTTAGAAAAGTCTGTAAAAGATCTGTGTTTTCAGGTACATCCTATCTATTGACAATGCTGATGAAATTGTGGAGTATGTTGGAGATCTCTTACAAGGAACAGAGGGAAACAAGGAAGGTTTTGTGGATGAGCTGGTGCAGAGATGGCAGAGGTGTCAGATGCAAGCGCCTGATGGTCTAGGGGGCGTCCTTAAGAAAGAGGCAATCATGGGTAAATATGGACACAGATGTTTTTAAAGTGAATACAGACACTAAGGTAAGAAATAAGGATAATATTTGAGTTAAAGGGGTCATATGATGCGATTTCAAGTTTTCCTTTCTCTTTGGAGTGTTACAAGCTGTTTGTGAATAGATAAGATCCCTGAAGTTGCTAAGACTAAAGTCTCAAAACCAAAGAGATATTCTTTATCAAAGTTAAGACTCTGCCACGCCCCCCTAAAACGGCTAAAATAATGATCTTTAAAAAAGCATCATATGGCCCCTTTAACACATCTAGATTTTTTGTTGTTGTTCAATTCAAACTCTTCTTCTGTGCTAGGTTTCAATAAAAATTTACCTCTTTTCCATTCATCTGTTTTCATGTAAACAATTCATACACGTGTATGTTTATTTTTTGAAAGTTTCCTGAGTTTTAAATTAGAATGCCATAATTGGATGTTCTGGTGAAAAAGTTCTCTCTGCCAGAGAAAACGCCTGTGCTTCTGGATCATGTTTAGATATGGCTTCTTTTTTGACCTATAGAGTTTTAGCCGGTAACGGCGAATGGCACGGTGGATTGTTCACCGACAATGTTTTCTGGAAGTATTCCTGAGCCCATGTTGTGATTTCCTGTGTGTGATGCAGTGCCGTCTAAAGGTCCGAAGATCACGGGCATCCAATATGGTTTTCCGGCCTTGACCCTTACGCACAGAGATTGTTCCAGATTCTCTGAATCTTTGGATGATATTATGCACTGTAGATGATGATAACTTCAAACTCTTTGCAATTTTTCTCTGAGAAACTCCTTTCTGATATTGCTCCACTATTTTTCGCCGCAGCATTGGGGGAATTGGTGATCCTCTGCCCATCTTGACTTCTGAGAGACACTGCCACTCTGAGAGGCTCTTTTTATACCCAGTCATGTTGCCAATTGACCTAATCAGTTGCAAATTGGTCCTCCAGCTGTTCCTTTTATGTACATTTAACTTTTCCGGCCTCTTATTGCTACCTGTCCCAACTTTTTTGGAATGTGTAGCTCTCATGAAATCCAAAATGAGCCAATATTTGGCATGACATTTCAAAATGTCTCACTTTCAACATTTAATATGTTATCTATATTCTATTGTGAATAAAATATAAGTTTATGAGATTTGTAAATTATTCCATTCCTTTTTTACTCACAATTTGTACAGTGTCCCAACTTTTTTGGAATTGGGTTTGTATCTTCTCCAATCATTTAGCCCACTTAAAAGGCCTGTTCACATCAACACAGATGTTCGGCACAATAATTCAATCCAATGCAATTGGTCTCTTCAGTCTAAAACGGCACATGGGCTGAAAAATGAAAAATCCAATTTCACTCTGACAGTATGTGGTGCTTATGGGAAATACAGGAACACACAAAGACAGCAGTATAATGCTATTTGATTATCAAGATGCTAATGTTTTTTCTTTAATTGTTATTCTTATGTTTGTCTCAGCATTTGATATGCTTTGACTGGTATTTGTCATAATTGCACTTAATAATGTAAAACACATGCACACACTGGGGCATCACTGTGCAACTTTTCATTTTTGTCATGGCCTGTCACAGTGAAGAAACAAACAACATTTACATGTTTTCAAACAGTACAGAGAAATAGTTGATTGGTTCTACTACTATTTATTGTTGATTAGCAATGCTGCCTGTTTGTGAGCACCAAGTAGGGATGGGCGATATGGGCTTAAAAGTATATCTCGATAATTTCTGATATTTATTGCGATAGCGATATCAATGACGATAATTTAGGGAATCCTGTTTCTTTAGAGAAAAGTATTATCTTTACTATTTTTTACCCAAAATAGGTGTATTCTGTGATACGAAACCACGTCTGATTACAAAAATAAGTAATTTCAAACGCTCGACTATGTTATGAAGTTAATATGGAGAGCATGTCAATAAATTAAAATCTCTTTGTTGGACAACAGGTTTGTAAACGACTCGTACACATGTAAAACTGTGTCGCACACGTGCTACTGTAGTACATTTACTCAAGGCTCAGACTGATTTCTGTCGCACTGTACCGCCCTATCCAAACCTGTTCCAGATTGTAGAAGGAGCTGCTCAATTTCACGTCCGCCTTCCTTCACGTCACTCCACACAGTCGCACACAGAAATATGTCAACAACTAGACTTTATCATTATTATCGCGGGAAGAAGAATTCTTATCGTGTGGAGAATTTTTACCGGTATATCGCAAACGATAAGATATCGCCCATCCCTACCACCAAGTCATATAGCATAACAGCGCTGTCTCCATTCACATGATCAAAAACGTAAATCTTACTGGT